CAAACTGCGGCTCTCGAGCCACATGCGGCTCTTTGGCCCCTTGAGTGTGGCTCTTCCACAAAATACCGACTTCTGCGCATGGGCCACGAAGTTTCAATCGCACTGTACATGCGCGCCGGCACATGGTATTTTATGGAAGAGCCACGCTCAAGGGGCCAAAGAGCCTAATGTGGCTCGCGAGCCGCTGTTTGCCGACCACTGCCCTAGGCTGACCCCGAGAGTCAGCTCTGTGGAAGAGCTGGGATGTGCAGCTGCTCCCCTCTGAGGAGACCCTCCAGGGGGCTCACCGTCACCTACTCCTCTCAAGGTGACGGAAGATTCTAACTTGAACAATTTCCATTTCCCTGACAGCTCTGGTGCTCAAGTAGAAATTCATTTCTGATCTCCCTCTTCCAAATGGTCTGTGGATGTGTTTATACATCTCTTCTGCTTATGTCAGAAGCATTTCTTAGAGTACTTGAGTGGAAAGGGAGAAATGAAGTTTTGCTTCTGATTGATTGGCTTTTGTGTCCAAGGTTTGACCATGTGACCCAAATGCCACCTTCCTAGCAGCTGGTAGATGGCATCTGCTGCACTGAGCCTCGATCTGCCTCCAGTGGGCAGAGCCAGGGCTGGCCGCTTTGGAATCAGGACAGTCTAGTTCAGCCGTGGGCAAACTACGGCCCGCGGGCCGGATCTGGCCGGTTTGAAATGAATAAAACTAAGAAAAAAAAAAAGACCGTACCCTTTTATGTAATGATGTTTACTTTGAATTTATATTAGTTCACACAAACACTCCAGCCATGCTTTTGTTCCGGCCCTCCGGTCCAGTTTGAGAACCCATTGTGGCCCTCGAGTCAAAAAGTTTGCCCACCCCTGGTCTAGTTGATGGGCACTAAGTAAACAGGAAAGAAATTGTAATGAATTCAGGGCACACGAGAATACACGCATGGTGATGCTGTCTTGGGCTACAGAGAAGTTTGTATTTCCACCATCTAAGAAAAAAATAACTGGTGAGAATGTGCAAAGAGTAGAATAATTGGGGGTGAATTGAAGCTTCTTAAGAAAGCAGTTCTGCCCTGCCGGTGTGGCTCAGTGGTTGAGCGGCGACCCATGAATCAGGAGGTCATGGTTCGATTCCTGGTCAGGGCACATGCCCAGGTGGTGGGTTCGATCCCCTGTGTGGGGCGTGCGGGAGGCAGCCGGTCAACAGTTCTCTCTCATCATTGATGTTTTTATCTCTCCCTCTCCCTTCCTCTCTCTGAAATTAATAAAACATTTAAAAAAGAAAGAAAGAAAGCAGTTCTTTGAGGTTAAGTTAGTTCCCACGAACACTCCAGGGGCTAATTGCAAACATTCCTATGAGAAGTTAAGCAGACCTTGGTGTAAATTTTTTAGCCTTTCACGCTGCCTTTAGCCGTGTGCTATCTGGCTCCTCATCCCCTTCGCAAGGGTGGTTCCTCTCATTGCAGACGGGATAAGGGCGCTGTTTCTCTCCACCGCCTCTGTCCCTTCAGCAGCTTTGCTTCAGAACGTTCCCGGGAAGAGGCCGTGTCCACCGTGGAGGGTCTTGTCCTTGCTGCTACTTAGCAAGAAAAACATTGGTTTGTTGTTGAAACAGCAATCGGGTAGGGAGCATATGTTTCAGTGGAGCTTGATGGCTTGGAAACCAGGCCAAATTGAGAAACCAGTTGGAAAACCTCAGCCCAGATGTTTTCAATAGCTCTTTGTTCCCCTCACTGCGTCCAAAGCACTCCTGTTGGAGCCCTGACCAGCCATCGGTCACAGTGGACACGTTTCATCAGGGCCTCGATGTCAGGAGACTGGCCTGCGTCCTTCCTGACCTTCAGGGCCCCAGGGTCTCCTTGGTTTTCTCATCTCTACAATGGGAGTGTTTTTATCTGCTTCTTCCTGGCATCATGGAAACAATAGTATTCATTGTTTTTCTGACCTACTGGGAGAAAGGGAAAGGGAGGTTGAAAATGTACTAGGAGCAAGATTATCTCATTGAGTATCCATGGCAACCTGTTTGTTGGGTGTCATTGTTTTCACTTTGGAAATGGGGAACAGGCTTGTTTAAGTAGTTGACCGAGTCATGAAGTACCCCAGCCTGAGAGAGAATGGGAAACCCTGTTATCTGCCCTCATTATACTATAGGGTTCTACATGGAGCATTAAGAAGAGTGACAGGCTTAGCTGATTTTGTTTCCTTTCATGTTGTAGTGGCACTTATAAAAATCACTATTTGAAACACCCTGTGGCACTTTAAAAACTTTTTATTTTAATTATGGTAAAATACACATAACATTAAAAACATGCCATCTTGCCCTAGCCGGTTTGGCTCAGTGGATAGCGCATCGGTCTGCACACTGAAGGGTTCCAGGTTCAATTCGGTCAAGGGCACATGCCTGGGTTGTGGATTTAATGAGGGGCATGCAGGAGGCAGCCGATCAATGATTCTCATCATTGATGTTTCAATCTCTCTCTCCCTCTCCCTTTCTCTCTGAAATCAATAAAAATATTAAAAACATACATACACACAAACATGCCACCTTGACTGGTTTCCAGTGTACAGTTGGGTAGTGTTAAGCTCATTCACATGGTGGTGCGACCATCTCCAGAACACTTCTTATCTTGGGAAACTGAAACTCTGTCCCCATTGAACAACCACTCCCCATCCCGCCTCCTCCAGCCCTGGCAGCCACCACTCTATGTTTATCTCTATGCATTTTGACTACACGAGGTACCTAGTAAGTGGAAACATGCTGATTTGCCTTTTTTATTTTTTAGAATTTCCTTCCTTTTTAAGGCTGAATAATATTCCACTGTATGGATATACCACTTCTTGGCTATTGTGAATAATAATGTAAGACACATGGGTGTGCTAATATCTCTTTGAGGCCCTGCTTTCAATTCTTCTGGGACTTGCAGGATCATATGGCAATTCTGTTTTTAATTTCTTAAGGAACTACCATGCTCTTTTCCATGGTGGGTGCACCGTTTTACGGTCCCACCAATAGTGCACAGGGGTTCCAATTTCTCCACATCCTGTCACCTGACTTCTGAAAAGTAAGGAGGTGGCTCTGTGGGTTAGTCTTGGAGTCAGTGGATGGAAGTTTCAGGCAGTGAGAAGAACACTGAACGGACCAGGGCACCAGGCTCAGGGGGTGGCCTGCAGAGTGAGTTGCCCTCTGAGCCAGAGCTCTGCGTCTGTGAAGTGTGAATAACAAGGTCACCTCATCCTCTTCCTTGAAGTATGGGGAAGTCAGGGGAGGTGACACAGGGAAATGCCTTCAAAGCCTCAAGTGCAGGATGGCTGAGGGGTCACGGTCCAGCCTCTGCTACAGGTGAAGGTGAGTCTGGCTTGCATCATAGTCAGTATAACTATCATCATCATCATCATCATTGCTATCATTTTTCAGTAACTATGGGCCAACAATAAACTAGACATGTGCCATGTATTATGTCTCCTGCCCACACTCCTGCGATTCAAGTGTCTTTATTATCCCCACTTTACTGATGAGGAAAAGGCTTCAACCAAAGCTGAGCCAGAATTCAAATCTAGCTTAGTATCCAAAGTCCCCACTCCTTCCCCTACACCATGTGACATCCTGGCTCAACGCTGATTTCTACCCTGATCATGTTCAATCCACCACATCCCTCTGGCAAGGGAATCCCGATGGTCTAGAACTATATGCAATGTCTTAACATGCTAAACATCAATTGATGACCACACACAGCTGCCCAGATTAGAGAAAAATTCTCTTTCTGTGTACAACTTTGGTGCCCCCCCAACATTCAAACCTACTTTGACATCACGCTTGGTTTTTCTCTTCTCTGCTTCCTTCAGGGCCCATCTGGTTGGACAATGTCTACTGCACCGGCAAAGAGGCAACCCTCGCAGCCTGCACCTCCAATGGCTGGGGTGTCACCGACTGCAAGCACACCGAAGACGTGGGTGTGGTGTGCAGTGAGAAAAGGATTCCTGGGTTCAAATTCGACAATTCGTTGATCAACCACGTAGAGGCAAGTCGTGTTCTTGATGACTCCTTCATGTGGATGTTTTCTTTTTCTCTTTTTAATATGTTTTTATTGTTTTCAGAGGGAGGAAGAGAGAGGGAGAGAGATATATAGAAACATCAGTGATGAGAGAGAATCATTGACCAGCTGCCTCCTGCACACCCCACACTGGGGATCGAGCCTGCAACCCAGGCATGTGCCCTGGGTCGACACTCAACCACTGAGCCACACTGGTCGGGCAGATGTTTCCTTTTCTACATGTAGCTCACTTTTCACTTACTGATTTCAAGAAGTGTGTGAGCACTAAGGAGGGGGACCAAGCCAACGTGATTTGGTGTGGGGGCCGTTGAGGGAGGATTTCTGGAGAAGGGGATGCCATCAGTGGGAAAAGGGCATCAGTGGCGAATGGCTTGGGCAAAGGCATGGAGGTGTGAACTGGGGATAAGCAGGCCAGTACTGCTCAAGAAAAATGTGAATCTGGGGGTCATGAGAAGTGCAACTGGAAAGGCGGGCATGAAAGGCCTCTGTGCTATGTTCGGGAGCTTGCCCTTTGGACTAGGGACATGTATTAGCTATCAGTTGCTACGTAACAAGTTACCACCCAGATTTGGCAGCTTCACACAACAAACTTTTACTATCTCACATAGATCGTAGGGTCGGGAATCCAGGAGTGGCTTAGCTGGTTGATTCTGCTCAGAGTCTCTGATGAGGTTGCAGCCGGGCGGCTGGGGCTGGGAGATCCTCCCCCGAGTTGACTCGTGGTTGTTGGCAGGCTCTAGTTTCTTTCTGGCTGTCAGCGGGGGCCCTCCGGCCCTCTCCGCAGGCTGCCTAAGTTCCCTTAAGACATGTCTTTCTCCAGAGTGAGTGATTTAAAAGAGAAAGAGAGAGGGAGCAAAACTTAGAAGCCACAGATTTTCCTAAGCTAATCTCGGAAGTGGTACCCCTTCATTTCTGCTGTATTCTGTTAGTCACACAAAACAATTGTGCACAGTGTGGGAGGAGGTTACCCGAGGGAGTGAACGCAGGAGGTGGAGATCGCTGGGGCCATCGTGGAGGGCGGCTACCACAGGGGAGTTGTTCCCAAATGTAGCTGGGGAGCAGAATCACTTTAAAAATGCAGATATTAGGTGATATTTATAATGTTGAAATCTTATGACTCCAAGTTTTCTATCTAAAATTTTAATTCTGTTATGTATCATGAAAATTTTATCATGTTATCAAAGATTCTCCAAACCATTATTTTTATTTATTTTTTTAATATATTTTATTGATTTTTTACAGAGAAGAAGGAAGAGGGATAGAGAGTTAGAAACATCGTTGAGAGAGATCGATCAGCTGCCTCCTGCACATTCCCCAGTGGGGATGTGCCCGCAACCAAGGTACATGCCCTTAACCGGAATCGAACCTGGGACCCTTCAGTCCGCAGGCCGACGCTCTTTCCATTGAGCCAAACCGGTTCAGCCAAACCATTATTTTTATTAGTTGCCAAATAGTTTATCTTATGAACCTGCTATAGTATAGCTATCCTTTCTTGCATATTGGACATGTATAGATCAGTATACATAGAATTACTATACATATCATTGTTCATCATCTATGATTACATTTTTTATCATTTCAATAGAATTTTTGACAAGAAGTGGATTTATGGAATCATGAGTTTAAATAGTATGTATATTAAAGTTTCTTGACATTGACAAAAAAATAGAGAAAACGTTTTCTAAACTGTTTATTCCAGTTGTATATAAAGGTACAATTCACTGTTTACTAAAATGCAGACCCTGGGGTCTCCCTTCAGGCCCGCTGCATCAGCGCCTCCCACTGTGGGGCCCGGTTATTGCTTCCAGCTCTCGCAGATGACTCTGAGGTTGCCAGCCTGGCCCGAGCCAGCATCTGGGAAAGGCAAGAGGCTTGTGACCCTTCTTCTACATTTATGGCTTCATTTCAGATTTATCTTTTCAACAAGCTCTCCACTTAAACAATGAAATTAGCAGATATTTATGGCACTGCTCCTCTGTGCAGGAAATGTGGGGCATAGGGCCAAAGGAGGAGGCAGCCAAGACCTCTTTCTCAAGGAACATGCTGGATGTCATCCCCAAGGAGCAGTGGGAGCTGCATGAGTCCAGGCCAAGGAGCCTGCACTGTGCTTTAACCCCAAGACTAATGCTGAAGAAAGGTGACTCTTGAAATTGCCCTATTTGGGCTTCAGAGGAAGTTCTACCCAGACTGTGGTCTTCATGTTTCCTCTCATGACTCACACGGTCCTGCTCTTTTCTCATATATTCCTAGAGCATGCTGGGAACTTGTCCAAGCCTGAACTGTAGCATGGGAAAGGATCCCTAGCCCTCTCTCAGCTGGCAGGATGAGACCACCTCTCGCCAACATTCTTCAAATGCAATTTTTTTAGGAATAACTAGAAGAGATTCTTATAGTTGCTGTACTTTATTTAGTGCTCCAGGTACTGATGACAACTTTGCTTTACCATGAAGTCTATGATTTGGGCTTTTCCAACCCAGTTTCACACTTTTCATCTCCATTCTTCATAATCTCACACAGAATAATTAGCACCACTTATATGTATCCCATCTTTCCAATGAGATTAGAAGCTCCTGGAGGGCATGGGGCTCTATCTAAGTCACCATTTTATCCAATGAAATAATGCTAGGTACCTAATGGGAGCAATATCTCCAATTCCCAAATGTTCTTCTTCCCAGGAATGCAAATCAAAGACCATTATCCCCGTAGGTGAAGAGTCTCCCAGGATGAAACATCAAACTGAACAGCGATGAGAAGTACATAGAAGCAACTCATTCTCAACCTGTGGGTCGCGACCATCAGAAAACACATATAGCATATCAGATATTTACATGACGATTCATAACAATAGCAAAATTACAGTTATGAAGTAGCAACGAAAATAATTTTATGGTTGGGGTCACCACAACATGAGGAACTGTATTAAAGGGTCGCGGCATTAGAAAAGTTGAGAACCACTGCTTTATAGCATTGCCCTGCCTACTAGGAAAGTGAGCTTATTTATAACATCTTTAACGGGCCTCTATTCAGCCTAACAGCCGTGGGCAAACTACGGCCCGCGGGCCGGATCCGGCCCATTTGAAATGAATAAAACTAAAAAAAAAAAGACCATACCCTTTTATGTAATGATGTTTACTTTGAATTTATATTAGTTCGCACAAACACTCCATCCATGCTTTTGTTCCGGCCCTCCGGTCCAGTTTAAGAGCCCATTGTGGCCCTCGAGTCAAAAAGTTTGCCCACCCCTGGCCTAGAACCTTAGGATAATCCACTTTGATTGTCAAATGAAGATCCAGGTTCTGGGCATAAGAAAGTCACTAATGGTTTGAAGCAAAAGGCCAAAATGTACAAAAATGATTCTGGAAAAGGATTCTGTGAGTATCACTTCAACAGAGAAGTTTTATTAACTACCTCTATGGGCACTTCTAATGCTGAGCATTTGAAGGGGAAATGAGGTCATATGAAAATTGGGTAGAATTAATTGGTAGAATAGGTAGATACGTGACTGAAAAAATATGTTGGACAGTACTTTCTCATTCTGGAAGGGTCGAGAATCCATGGTAGGAAAGCTTGGTACCCACCCTTATGCTGGGCATTTGCTGGGTGTCTGCTGTATGCACATCACAGTCTGGGACACCACTAGGGAAGGAAAGCTTGGCCCTTGTCCTCCAGCCTTATAATCGGAGAAGGCAAGACGCATGCCTTTGGGGAAACGGGAAGGGGCCTAGATCCTGAATGAATTTACAGTAGCTCAGAGAGGACTACCTGGGGGACATCGAGTTGAAGGGCCAGATGACTTTCAAACTCTGCACTTTCCTAGAAAGCCTCCCTCTTACCATCTACAAATCGAGCCAGACTGGTTCTTGGGAGCCAGACTGGTTCCTGCGAGACAGATGATTGGTTCCCACGAGCCAGACTGGGGGCTTTCATGTCCAGCCACAGACACTGAGGAAGGTTTCAACTGATGGGCAGTGCCTGTACCTCTTCCCTGTGGTGTCTGATGAAAGTAGGTCATGAAAGGGCCCGGATCTCAGGATGTCTGAGGAGAGCCTTTGAGAGTTGCCAGAGAATTCTTCCACCCAGGATTTCGTGGCTAAAGCCTGTGCTTCCTGGCAGAACTGGTCCGATGGGCAGGGAGCCGCCCAGACCACCTAAGGGGATTTCTGTGAGCTGCTGGGAAGCTTCTCTGAAATACCTCATGTAATAGCCTGTCAGGAGCTGAAGTCACGGAGTCACTTCTCTTGGCTTAAAGAAATGTCTCTTATTAATGTTGTGGACGAGAGGACGAGATAGAGGTTTGCTGGGCATGCCAGTGGGCGGAGACACGGTGTGCTGACTAATGGTACCCAGGACAGCTGCTGAGTGGCCAGTGTGAACACAGTGGATGGGCTCTATGATGTCTCCCAGGGCTCCTCTCCTGCCTCTCCATCAAGTATCAGAAATTTACATGGAGAGTAAAATGAGCACTGATCAAATTCATTTTAGACAGAAAACCATGAAGGGTTGTGGGAATAGAACATTATGGAATGAGGTGCAGAAAAACCTCAGTAGGTTGAAATAATAGGCCCTAAAACATATTAGGGATGAATAGAAGGTCCTATATCAAGGTTAAGGGGGGGTGGGCGGGGAGGGCGATCAGCCACAGAGCAAAAGCTATGGCAAGTGACTGAAAAGTATTCATTATATTTCAATTATCCCTGAAGGGGGTTGGGTTGGTTGACTAACAGCTCAGTATAAGCCACAGGGATGATATGGCAGCTAGAAAATGTGAATATAAACCCATACGTAAAAGAAGAGTTATTTCCCTAAAGTCTTTGCATTCTGGACCAAGAAATGAGTGCAGGGTTCAGTTCTGGGGCCATCTCTTAACTAGGTCACCCAGAGGAGGGACCAGCAGGATGGGGATAGGTCTGGAAACTGTTTCATTTGAGAAAATGAAGATATTGGGTCAAGAAAAGCAATCTGGTGGT